CGTATTCTCCCCAAACGCTTGGTTTATGTTGCGTGCAGCTTTTGCAGCACTATTACCAAGTTTGTACTCATATAAGAAAATGACGCGAATGTCGGCAGAATTCATATCGGTAATAAACTCAAAAGAAATAAAAAAGGGAAGACCTTCGAGAAAACCTATTTTGTTGAAATGAGTCTCTGGCAATGGACAATACGAGTATGAATGAGGTTATGCCAAATACAAAAGTATAACGAAAACAGGGAGGAAAACGTCCGCATGTAAAGAGAATGCGACATTTCATACGCACCAACCTAATAAAACTGCCACCTCCTTTCCTTCACACACACACACACACACACACACACGCGCGCGCGCGCGCGCTTACGCACACTTGTATGTAAACAAGTGATATCTACTATTTTAATTTATTAGTCTCAAATGAATCGTTATTCTCTGTATACTTGTCATATATTTTATCAGCAAATTTAATAATAAATGTGAGCGTATGTACACATATATATAACTATAATATGATATATAATAAAAATGACAAATCAATATTACAATATAAGAATTAGTTTGCTTTTGTCATTTTAATGAATATATCTGTACTTGGCGCTGTGACAAATCTGTGACTAACATATCCGTATGAAGTTACGGTCTTTTCGCAAACATCGATTTTGTAATTTCGCAAAATACCAATGAGTCCAACTTTGCTTTGAAGGATGCCTAATCGTTCACCTGTAAAGTATCATCAGTTTAAATTTCGCTCTCAAATATTCTCTTTAACAAAGGCAGTTTTGGTTTTAATAGAATTATATAATTATTTTATCTAATCGTATGAGTACAATACCTTATATTTATATATTTTCTGTTATCTATGTGCATACATAATATCTCTCTTATTTTCTCCAACTGATTGATTAACATTAAATTTACTTACCGATGCAATTTCTTGGTCCATGTCCAAACGGTAAGTAATGCATTGGGTCTCTGGGATGCGACATCTCGTCGATAAATCTGTCTGGATCGTAGATGTCTGGATTAGGGTATAATTTTGAATCATGATGAAGTGCATGAATAGATATGATGACTTTCTGTTTCTTCGGCACATTTATATCAGTATTTTTGAAAGTATAGCTTGTTGATACTTCTCGTTGTACTGAATCTGCTGGTGGGTATTTCCTCAGTGTCTCTAAGAATAAAACGATTTTTGTAAAAGAGCATCAAATTAATTATCTCATCATCAGACGTGCTTCAATGCTGTCGCTTACCAAACTGTTTAAATATATTTAGTGATACTTTTCATTAAAATAGAATAGAAAAAAGATAAACATAAGAAACTATTATTACAATAAGGAATATTATATTAAATGATTTTTTTGGTTGTTATTATTTAAATAAATAAGTAGGATGTAAAAACGTATCGTAGTGAGTTTACCTTTAAAAACTGCATTTAAATAAGGCATTGTGTTTATATGGTCATATAGTAATTGACCGTTATTTTTCGCATACGTGTCCAGTATCTCTTTTCGTAATTTATCTTGAATATTTGGATGAAAAGCCAGTTCGTATAACGTATTACATATCGTCGATGCAGCGGTCTCGTAGCCCGCATAGAAAAATCCAAAAATGTAGGAAGCCAGAAACTCATTCGATACGTCTGAGCCTAAATAGATATTATATGAATGTTTTCTCAACTTAATAAAGTTTCATTTCTTCCTTTCTTTCTTTCTATGCCAGTTGTGTGTGTGTGTGTGTGCGTGCGGGCGTGCGTGCGCGTGTGTGTGTGGGTGCGTCGTGCGCGTATGTGTGTGTTGCGTGCGTACGTACATGCGTATGCGCGCGCGCGCGCGCACGTGTGTGTGTGTGTGTGTGTGTAAATTTAAATTTTATTTATACTCTATAAATTTTTCAAACTGAATGTATATATTTCAATATGTTTTTCATCTCTTTCTATGTTTGTATCCCTAAATTTTTAATATTTTCATTTTATCTCCATAAAATTCTCCAAACAATTATAAAATCTTTGTAAATTTAAAATTCATACATTATCGCTTTGTGGTCCCGGCAAAACAAGATTGAACTTCAATTTTAAATCAATAATTTCTCTGTTTGTAACTCGTGTATTGATATATTAAATATATATATAAATATTGATTTGACTGAAGTAAAAAAAAAGTTTTTACCAGTAATCTCAGAGAGTTTTCCAGGATTTTCCTTTATTTCCATCAGTAAACCTACTACATCAGGTTTAATAATACCATGTTTTTTTCTATATTCCATAATTTCCAACAAAAAATTAACGTAAAAATTGTTTACTTCTTCATGATTGAAGAAATAGTAACCAATCTGGTTGTACAATCGCGGAAATGTTTTCTGCATTATAACCTTCACTATAATACTCCAGTTTGTGCCACGAGTCATATTAGAATATCTTATAAAATCATTCTTTTCAAAATTTTCTGTCGTTAAGGTCGTCATATTAATGCCCATTAAATTATTGCCGATTATGTCAGCAGTTAATCTAGCACCCAATTCGCTACAATTTATCATATGATCGTTCCTCGGTAATGATTCTTCGAGGTAAATGTCCAAGCGCTCCAAAGATTCTAGCATCGTATGATATATCTCTTTAATTTTACTAGGTGTAAAAATTGTTGACATCCTCGTCCTAATGACGTGTGCCATTGGTCCGTCCGCAAAAAAAAGAAAATTGTTCCATGGCTCCGCCTGTTAAGATATCAATTTAATTATCGTCTCAAATCACACAATATAGAAACATGATGATGATTATTATTATTGTAACGGGAACCTTTGAGTAGACGGGGAGACCTCGGCTAGAAAATAAGGCAGAATCTTTAATGAGAACATTTTTTATATGTTCAGGATCTTTTATTAACAGGATCGGCTCTCTCATGTTAAATATTCCTACGAACGGTGCATCCTCATAGGCATCATATATACTCTTGAGATACTTCGCGAGTATCGTTCTTCCAAGTATAATATTCTTCATCGTGCCGAAAAACAGTGCAGGTTGAGGACCCGGTATATTGCGTTTCTTCCAAAAATTGAAGGTGGCAGTAAAGTAGTAATAGAGCAGGAAGATAATTAGCCCGCATAATATTTCAATGATTACCAGCATTTTGTGTCTGTGATCGAACGTGAACATTTATTACAAATTTTATCCTTAAAACTTTCGAGAATATTTTAGGTTTTTCTTTATATTTAAAACTAATATTGTAGGAAATACGTACTTTTGTATACACTATAAGATCCAAGAAATTTTAACACCTTTCCAAAATTTTATAATGAAAGTTTTCCTTCAGCCATATATTCTATGTGAATACGTAAATATCACGGCTACATTGACAAGTATTTCGAATAAAACTCTGGATATATTCTTCAAATACAAGCTATAAAAAGGGTGAAGGATTGTGCAAAACGCAGCTTTTTTTTTTACTACTTACCTATTAAGAAATTAATTATTATGTATCCTCTGTTCGATACTGCGACTTGATATATTTACACTTGGAAAAAAGTTAGTAACGTCTTCGGAAAAACTCAGACAACTGAAAACGCTCATTTACTGTGTCTTTCCTATCTTATATATGACGGAATCCATGAGCATACTACTAAATAAACAATTCTGCCATGTAAGAGAGCGATAAACCGTTTGAAAGTAGATAAACAATACATAGAAAACAGATAAAAAGTACAAATACTTTACAAAAATAAGATGTGCGAAAAATGTGTTTATCATCTTAGGAACAGTAATTTTATTTTTTTCCTAAGTGATAATATTAAGTAAATGGCATATGTAAGTATAATATTATCTTTGGCAGCTATTACTAAATTTATTGCAGTAAGATCCATCATATAAGATATATTTTCAATAAAATTACATGTACATTGTATTCATGTTACATGTATACATACACATCCGAACAATATTTGAATTAACATCTTTCCTATGCTAATATATGATGAACTCAACATACTACATTTCATTGTGTAGATTCTTATTTGAAACGTTAAGAACGTGTAAAAATTATGATATCTTCATAGATGGAATCATGGAACGAGTTCCTTTTTTTTGCAGACGGACCAATGGCACATGCCATTTGGACGGGGATGTCATTGATTTTTACATCTTGTAAAATTAAGGAGATATATCATACGATGCTAGAATCTTTGGAGCACTTGGACAATTATCTCGAAGAATCATTACCGAGGAACGATCACATGATAAATTGTTATCATCCTTGAAGCATTAGATCTAGATTATTCACCCCTCTATTGATAAAAGTAGAACAAGTGATGTGCTATTATAATAAACCGGACTATTTATAAAGTCAGGAAAAATTGAGCATTAACATAAATATTCCTTTTCGAAGTTCCTTTTCTAATAAACTTTAAATTCCTACAATTGCTATAAATCCTAGATAACATTCAGTAAATATATTTATTAGTTTCTTTTTAGATATTTTTAACATGTATCGAAATGTACTAACATATAAATGTTTTTTACCGACTTACGGCCATTGGAAAAAGCATTCTTACAGGGGAGGTTGATATGTGAAAAGTCCAATTTGTACAAAATGAGTTTTAATCAATATTTCATTAACAATAAACATACGAGATGATATATATTTCTCGAAATTATTGTTATAGAATTTGACAATTGATATGTGTATTTATATGTATTCTCAAAATAGCCTATATAGGAAAAGACGTCAAGAAGACGACATATATTTTGATCATAAGCGGACCAAATAGATATCACAAATTATGTCTTAGCAGACTCGACGATAATGTCAACATGTCACATCCAGTAGACGTCATTTTATGATAATGACAAAAATAAGATCGATATAATTTCATTTAATATCCGTTACTATAGAATTTATCCATTGATGTAGTTTAAAACAAAAAAAGTAACTTTTTACCATTTTATTTAAATAATAAAACAAACCTGTCATTTTGTTTTTTGTCATTAAATGTTTATAGATATAACCCACTGTTTCGATGTCGTAGCGGTCATCCATCCTTTCCATTATCTATTGAATAAGATTTATAGGTGATACTAGTGCGCTCCGGTGATATCTTTATTTGAATTACGGTTAT